AATGTGGCAACGTATTCCAAGAACTTTGAAAATACAATCACACACCATATAATGACATTTCAGTCAATGACGGACTGCATATATGACAGTGGTCCCATGAGATTAGCGCCACATAGCCTACGTATGTGGTAGACTATACCATCTAGGTCTGTGTAAGTACACTCTATGATGTTTGCACGATGACAGAATCACCTAGCCACACATTTCTCAGAATGTATCCCCATCGTCAAGCCATGCACAACTGTAAGATGTCCGTCGGCCGAAAAGTCCCCAGCTGGGAATTCATCCTAAGGACATCATCCTAAAGGACGAATGTTTGTCTCAGCGTTATGTATAACATCTAGATATTGCAAACAACCTACACATTCATGAGAATGGGAACAGTTTGCAAAAGCTGTGTTAAAACCAGGAAAACAGGCTAAGTGACTAAATCAGGTCCCTGGGGAGGAGGGCTGGGAGGCTTCTGGGACACGAACAGTGTTCTTGCAAGTGATCAAGAGCACGATGTGTTGGCTTTATAATTATTTCTTAAGCTGTGCATTTGTTTTACGTATTTTTGTGCCTAAATCATATGTTGCAATGGATTGATATAGGCTTTTTTCTTTTCTTAAGAGGTGGATCCAAGAATCCTTAGAACACAAACTTCCCCCGGAACCATGAACTCCATCTGGGGCAGAGCCTTGAAGGGCTCCCAGAACCGTAGGAGGAGTTAAGGCAGGGATTTCTTCCCCGACCTTCCATTAGGTCCAGGGGCCTTGACACACACAGTCCTGATGAGCTTGAACGGAAGGAAGTTCTCAGGTCTTAGGTCCCTAGAGGTAAAAATGGCTTGACCGCTCCGGTCTCTGTCCCGGGCTCCCCGGACGCGGGGAGCAGAGAGGTGGCTGCGCCGCCAAGCAGCCCCGCGCCTCCCTGGGGCGCTACACCCCAGGGCGCGGCGGCCCGCGGCGCCACCTGCCCCCGGGACCTCCCAGCGGCGATCCCCCCCACCCCCCCACCCCCGCAGCCCTCCCCGCCGCCGGCTGCAGCGCCTGGAGGGAGCGCAGCCCTTTACGCCCCTCGCCCGCCCGGCCCTCGCACCTCCACCCCGGTCACCATGTTCTCCAGTAGGTGGCCCAGCTCCCTCTGCCTCCCCTGCCCCTTCCTCCTCTGCCGCCCAGCCCACCGCCTTCTCTACCGCAAGCCGTCCTTGCTGCTCCTGTTCTGGCCATGGCGGGGGCTCGGGGGCGCCCAAGCCGGCCTCTCTCTGCGCCCAGGTCCGTGAAGGATTGGATAGAAGTGCCCAAGTGGAGTTCCCACACGGCTAGCAGGGACGGGCCCCGCATTCCCTAACTGACCCTCCACGGAGTCCTCCCAGGCTTCGTGGAGAGCAGTCGTCTCCAAGGATCTTCCGGATGAGGCTGTCCTGGACCTTTCTGAACGACAAGGCCTTCCGCCTAGAACTTGATGAGAGGGGACACAAAACTTGTTTGGGTTCTTATGGCTCCATGTCCCAGAGCAAGCTCCTGTCCCCTACTCCACCCACCCTGACCAACCAGGCAAGACTGGCCTGGCAAGGGGGGGCGGGGTAATAGTGAATGGAGGGGCCTCTCACCACAGCCTGCCTTCCAGCTGGGCAATGCCTATCCTTCCATCCATCTCCCTGCCCTCCCCTGCCCCCATGAGGAAGCCCCTGGTCTGTTCCCCTGGAGTCAGCCCTGAGCATTGCCCCTAGTCATCCCGGTGGGAGGGATGCCGAGGGCGGGAAGCCGGCCTCCCACTGTGGTGCTGTGCTGTCTGCAGACTTCTGGGGAAAGCCTGTGTTCCAGGCCTCTGTGCTGGGCTGTCATGTGGTCAACCAGGTGAGGATGCTTCTGAGGGGCACTTGGTCAACTGCCCCAAGAAACAAGAATCCAAGTCTCAAACTCAAACACACAGAAAGGGGCAGATGGCAGCTGGTCCCCACATCTGAGTATTTTTATCTTCAGCTGTTACTTAAGCCAATATGCAAAGGGACAGGGTTAGGTAAATTCAGGTTAACTCTTACCTGGAATGGGAAGACTAGTATTTTCCTGGTCATGTGTATCAAGAATGGCGGAGACTTGAACAGTGATACCAGACTGCCTTCAAGCACTCTGAATGAGCTTATCCTCCCAAACAGGCTCTCACTGATGCCGTCCCTCCTTTATCCCCATTCTGCCTCGATCTTGAGTCACTGGCTGAAAAAGGACTGACTGATTAACCTCCAAGAAACAAGAGCAGGTTTCAGATGAGAGAGGAGATTATAGAAGGACATAGATACCCTAGTCCTTTCTACTCCTCTCATAAAAAGAGAAAATGAGACCCTCATAGCTCTGAGGACTCAACTGAGGGAGGTTGCCAGTCAACCACAGATCTGCAATAGATGAGAACTTCCCAACACATATAGTTCCTGAGACAAGACTCTTCACTGTCACATTTGGAGCTCTCTTCCCTGATGAATGGTTGGTGAAATTAGGGATGGGAACTGTGCCCTATCCCATTGCAGAAGTAGAACACGGGTATAAGATTTGGGAAACTCCCCTCCCAGATGGAAAGCAAGATGTGACTTGAGAATAGTGCCACTGCTACTTCCCCCAAATCCAGCTCTCCTCCTGATTTCCCACAAAATTAGTCCTTTTGGTTAAGACCAAACTTTCTCACTTAAGGGCCTTCTCACTAGACTTCTGGGGAGAAGTAAAAGGACCAAAGAGCATGATGACAAATAGATGCTTGGGAAGGAACAGGACCCCAACAAGGCTTCTTCAGTGTCACTGGGCCAGGGCTAGGTAATGAACAAGGAGAATCTTACCCCAACCTCAGTCCGATCTACCCGTTCTGCCCACTCCACAGAACTTCCACAGGCCACTGGCACCTGCGACAGTGAGAACCTGTGCTTGGCCATCCCGGTGACTGGCTTGTTCTCCTGTTGTGAGCTCTACCTGAGACACCAGCACCTGAGTCCTGGGGCAGGACCCCTTGGTGGCGTCCTCCTAACACATACCTCCACCTGTTTGCTGTTGACAGCACAGCTCTTTTCCCAGGGGTGTTCTCTGAGGTGGGTCCTGAGAGCAGTTAAGCTGATGAGCCAAGGAGGACAAGGAGAAGCTGTATGGGTACTGTCCTGGGGCCATCAATCACAAGAAGGTACATTGTCGTGTCAGAGACAAGGAAGTAGCCAGAATCTGAAGGTTGCTTCAAGGCAGTGAGGTGCAGGCTTAGGCAATCCCCATCTGAGTGCTGTCATGGAGACAATGTCCTGTGTGTCTAAAACAAGTCGATAGCAGGGTTCCTGAGGAGTGCCTGTGTTTTGGTGTGTAGTATGCCGTTCTAACCCCTAGAAGTAGAAAGAAGTAGCTTGAAGATGCCAGTTCCCTAGGCAAGCAGGCAACTCTTGGAGGTCCTGGGCCCAAAAGGCAGGAATTGCCAAATCCGCCTCTTGTGGTGAAGACTGTTGGGCCTTAGCTTCTGGCGAGGAAGCTGAACCCGGCTGTGGGGTGGGTCTCAGGATCTTTCCCTCCAGATGATATGAGCCTAGTTTGAGGTGGCTCCAAAGAAGGCAGATACTTTAGAAACCTTCTCCACGGGGTGTATTTATCCCTCCTCAGACTTCATTGGTGAGTAAACAGGCCTCTGGGCTCTCCACTCATGTGATCACCTGCTTGTTGAGGTCTCCTTGGCCTCCAACAGCCTTGTGTCCTATTTGACCCATGATCTCCACGCTGCCTCATTTCCTCTTTCAGCCCTGTATTCAGGCCCACTGCTGGCTCTCCTCTAAATCTACAGCATCTGCTCCCATCCTGAGTAAAGAAGGCCTTGAGTGTCTGTCTTGGAGGAATCCCTTTCCAGACTCACTGATCTCTCTACCCCTCCGGGGAAGATGAACCAGACTGTCACAGCTCGAATTCTCCTCATATCCCTTCCATACCTTCCTCATGAAAATTATCCCACCTCTTCCTGTGTGAAATCTCAGTCTTCAGAGCCTGTTTCAAATGCTGCCTCTTCTACAAAGACTTTCTGATTCTTCCTTCCCTCTTCTTCCATTACACTCTCATAATCAGAGAGTCACAACCATATTCTACCTTAGATTGCTTATTTGTCCTTAATTTTTTGTCCTTATTTTCCCTTCTCAATGATTTCCTTGAAGGCTGGGCCCATGATCTTTGCCTCTGGTAGCACTCAGTCTTGGCATTCAACAACTCAAAGTATGTCAAAATGAGTAAAGTCCAGTATTTGTCAATCACCTACTCATGGGCCTAAGTATAACCCAAATCTGTCTGAGGTCACCAGTGAGAAGACCTGAGGTAGCGAGCCAATACTACCTTGCAGAAGCATAGACACTCAGTCCAAGTCCAGTCACAGACTTCCAGATAAAGTCGGGGACAGGCCTTGCTGTAAGTATGGTTGGGAGCAAGAATGGTTGTGAAAACTGTAGTTGTGTCCTGGTGTGCTTCCCCAGTGGGACTGTGGCCATCTCCACCATGATGGCCACTGACCCTTCCACTGACATGAGCAAGGCCATGCTGAAGAATCACACTTGCCAACTAAGAATGTCTAGCAGGAACCAAGCCTTCTTCCAGTTTAGCATCACCAGCTGTGGTACCTCCTTGAGGGTAAGTAAGGCAAAAGGGCCAGCTGTTCCTTCCAGTTCTTAGAACAGCTTAGATGGTATTCTTCCTCAGCCCCATGTTCTCAGTACACTCTAAAATCTTGGGTTATTTAGTTTGAAGGTGATTATGTTGTATATGAAAATGATGTCATTTATGAGAAGGAGACCCTTACTGTGAAGGGCTGGCCCACAATCACAAGAAATCCTGACTACAGGTAAGATGGCCAGTCTCTGAATGAAGGTCAGCTGTGTCCCTGAGCGTAGCCCCACTATTAACAACACCCCCATCCACAGGGGATCCAATCTGACTATGGAAGGAGACACTGAAGAACAGTTTGTGGAAGGGCCTTACAACATCAGAATGCTTCAATTTCCACAGTTTGGCTTTTTTTTCTTTTTGAGCTATATTTTATCTTATTCCTTAGCAGATACTTATCCATATTGGAGGTATAATATAAATTGGAGTTATATTGACAGACCCTCTTCTTTAGAAGACTAAATGATGTTGCTAAAAACAAATGATCACATGACTAGATCATGGTCCATCAAGAATATAGCCCACCAACCAACGGAAAAGGCTAATAGAATAAATCTCTGCAGTAGGCTGTCTGTACTGGACTCAAAACCCAACTTTCTTGGTTCTGCCATTCAGCAGATGAGACCTTGGTGAAGTCCCTTCCCCTCGCTGGTCTTCAGGCCCCCTTGTCCATGAAGCAAAGAGTTCCCTTGAGTCCTCTTTTGCTCTGCAACTCCACAAACCAAAGGGCCTGCTCTAGCCTCCGCTCTTGTCCTAAGCTAGTACTATTCTGCTGCTACTCGGTTAAAGAAACACTAACCCAAGTGGGCAGGCCAAGGAAGCAAGCTGTTCTGCCACCAGGAGATGGCTCATTGGTGCTGCAGTCCTAGATCAGATGTCAGTGGACGGCTGGTGGGCTGAGAGAGAACTTTCCTTGAGCATTTCTACCTATTCCCAAGGCTTGACATTCTCATTCAGCAGGCTCTAGGAGGGGCACTCAGACACTAGAGATCCAGACAAGGGTAGCTAAAGGTAAGGGTATTGTGAGGTGTATTCTGGGGGCAGGAGGGCAGAAGAAGAAACTTCTCCATGAGTACACCAAATAATTCCCTTCCTAAGATGAGTCCTTCACTGAGTTCTACAACAGAGAAATGACCACCATGAGTCAGCCATCAGAGCATGGTCTTTGAGGTGGAACTGAGAAGCTATGAGGATGCCACAGCAGAATTACTCCTGGACAAGTGTTGGGTGTCAGTGTCACCAGAATTTGATGGCAGGTCCCAGTGGAACATCACTGTAAATGGGCAAGTACCCTCAACTAGAAGCTGAGAGGGCAGAACCAGAACCCCAATCCTACCCGATATAATAGTCCAAGATTCTATAAGGACATCTCATATGGTAGAGCGAGACCCCTAAAGTGGGGAACCCAGTGTCCCAGTGGATCTTAGTGTCACCTGAGCCTACTGAAAGAGTTTTTCACCCCTTCTTTGGAGTGTCTCAATCAGGATCTTCCCCTGACTTTCCAGCAGTCTCAAGACATGGCTGCAGCGCTGGCATTGTCTCCGGCTCTGTGCAGGCTTCCTCATGTGTAAGAAGGGGCCAGAATGGACTGAAGGCAGGTGCTCATGGACGCAAGATTTCTGCAGAATGCCTCACAGCTTGTTTGTCTCCAAGTTCTTCCTGGCAGCTGCAAGAAAGAGAGTAACCTGTTGGAGATAGACTTTTATCCTGTTCTGTCTCCTAAGTGAGAGAATCCTGTACCCTTCCTTGGTCAAGAGGCTGGTGGTGAAGCATGTGGCATCTGGACCCTAAGAGGTGAGCTCTCGGAGGACCAGAGAGACCGAAGAGGAATCTAGACTCCCAGAGTCCCAAATACGGACAGTTTGGGGACACTAAGTGAAGTCCCTGTGAGCCCCAGGCCCCAAGTTTTTGGGATAACCTGGTTTTCCTAGGTTTGGGGGAAGAGATTTGGCTCACACATGCTGCTTGGCGACTTGGCATCAATGTCCAGAGGTCATGTCCAACATGTGGTAACTAATAACTCAGATTAAGTATGGCAGGAGGCATCCTGGTGTAAGTTGGACCTCTAGCTGATCCTCTGGTTAACCAGTTACTAGCTGTATGGCCTGGACCAATCATTTCTCTTTTTTGAACCTCACTACCTTTTCTGCAAGATGGGGGCTTGAACCTCATTAAGGTCACTGAAGATTTTCAAAATGTTGATAAAGCATCCAATGTGTTAACTTCCTATTAGGGAGTCTCCACCACTCCCCACTTCTGTTCTCAAGTGTATGTACACTGCCTGACCCAAGTCTGCTTACAAATAGTGCCTATTGACCCTAATGGGCATTGTCCAGGCCAGTGCTCTCCTGAGGAAGAGAGAGGAGGAGGCGAGAGCCAACCCTCACCACACTGTATAGTAGTGACACCGAGAAGCTCTGCCCAACAGTCCTGCCATAAACATCTCCACCTCTCCCCTTTGGCACTCCAAATGAACCCAGTTTTCTGGGAGCTGCCTCAAGTCCTGACCAAACTGCAAACTGACCTTTCTGCAGAGCTCTCTGACCAGCACTCTGTGTATCACAGCTACACCTAGGCTGGTCCCATTTTGTTATCTCAGCCCAGGGAACTCTTGCTTGAAGAGGCCTTGCATGCAGATCTGGGTGATTTATAAAGGCTCTTTGGCCAAAACCACCTGGCTCTCACCCATCAAGCTTGTCTACTGTCTGGCTATGCTAATTTTCAGGCATTTTATGAAACATTTAACAAGGCTAGTTTTCCTTCTAGAAGAAGGAAGTCCTAAACGAAAGTCCATATGAGCCAAGAAATCTTAGTCTTCCTGCCTCAGTGACTCCCCCAGCCCACATCCACCTTGAACTCAGGCCAGGAAAGTACACTTTACCATATGGCCTGGATTCAGTGACTATGGGGGTGATGTGCCTGCTGGCATGAAGGTCGAGATCTGAGGGGGAATTTCAGAAAGCGTGGCACTTGAGACCCCTGCCAACCCTGAGACCCTGCCTTTCTCCTCCTCAGAGAGCAGCAGCCGAAGCTCCTGGCTGTGGTCCTGACTGGGCTAACTGCTTCCTCGTCACAGTGGTGGCCACTGCGCCAGCACTATCCAAGATGACCTGTATGTCATTCCATGAATGACAACTGATTTCAAATACAATGAATGCACTTAATCAAGCTGCTGTCCTGCCAATAGTGTTCCATTTCAGGGATTTGCTCCTTTCCTTAAACAAGGGAGAATTCTCAGCACTCCACAGCAGAGACCCACCAGGCTTGTTGCCTTAGAATTTGTTTTATAAAAGGAGATGAATGACCTCAGCCATGTTGTCTGGTTTCCTATTAGCAAGGAAGAAACAGAGGGACAAGGATAGTTATCGCATCCCAGAGTCCGTTAGCGCAGGAGAAAGCTGCCCAGAAACTCTCAGTTCTCGATGAGCACTTCCAACGGCTCCAGTCAGTCTGTCACCACTTTCTTGAGAATCTGCCTAACCCGTTAGGAACACAGCCATGTTCTCCATGGCACTATTTGCTAAGCCCCATTTCCCACTTCTCCACATACAAGGGTTTTCCAGTGATGCCCACGTGACCATCTTCACCCCCAGGGGTCAATATTTAACTCAACTCTGGGAGTTCCCAGAACACACCCTGACTCTAGAGATTATCTTTGGCACGGCTCCTTCCTCCTGCACATGGGACCTAATGGCCTTCGATGGAGGCCTATTGTTGTGGGGCCCTTCCTGGCCAGTCCTGAAGCCGTCTTGGAGGAGGGTGGTAAGAACATTCCCCTCAGGCCCAGTTATGGAGCTTGTCTCCTTTCCAGATAATGCTGTAATGGACAGAGCCCTCAACTCAGACCACACTCTTTCCTGGCCCATGTAAGCATCTCAGAAGGGCAATGTTTCTCACTATAAAAATGGGTGGTCCATCTTGTTAACCTAGTTGAGCATCATGAGTTGGTTAGCTGTAAGGGCCAGGGTCGGGTGGGTGGAGGTGTAGCTCTTGGCTTTGGTGATAAAGAGCCCTGGCCTCAGAAGTCCCTACTGGGGCAGGGACCCCAGCTGGGCCACAAAGGCTTTAAGATGCTGGCTTCTGCCCATTGTGGACCTCAGGCCTCCTGTTCACTATCAGGATTTTAGAAACACCAAGAGCATCGAAGAAAAGAAAGAACACAGTTTAAGTGCAAGTATTGACCTACCTAAAGGAGACCCTTAAAAGGCCCCTAAGAACGTGGGATTTGCACGTAATCACCGACTAAAACTTGAACTCCTTTAAAAAGCAAAAGGCCCTAAGTAGTGGGTATAAACTGATTGGTATTAAGTCCTCAGAGAAGGGAAAATAGCTCTGAGGAGAGTGAGAAAGGCTTTAGCAAGGAAGGAGCCATCCAGAGCCTTCCTGAAAAGGGAAGGGGTCTCTAAGCTTGAGAACCTGCCTCAGTGTGGATGGAGGCTGAGAACCAAGGCTATCGGAGCTGGACTCCTGGGAGAGAGAAGGGCTTAGCCCCCCCAATCCTGGTCCCTCCTTCCAAATGGATGGAGCTCTACTAGCAGCATCACCCCACCTCTCCACCCCTTTATCTAGCTCTCTCCCCCACCCACGGGAGAGTGACTTCCCTGGTTAGTGGGATAAAGAACCACGCTGCAGAGCCAGGCCACTTCCTCTCTTCCCTGACTTCCCTGGGAGTAGCCTCTTTCAGGGTCTATGCTTCTCCTTTCATCCTCACCAAGGCCTTACCTGGGTGCTGCAGCCACTCCCGCCCTCCCCATACGTGGCGGTGTGGTGGTGGGTAGGTAAGTTGTCCTCATTCTAAGGCTCTGTTGTTGGGGAAGCATTTCACTCTCTCTAAGCTGTATCCTCCAACCCAGTCCTTCTCCCAAAGAAGCCCAGTGTTCTCTCTAAATCCACCTGTCTGCATTAGCAGTTGGTTCAAACCCCAGTGCTATTTACTGGACCCCTCAAGACACCAGTGAGGCTGGGCTGGGGAGGACTGGCAGGGAACTGCCACTCCCACACTCTCCCTGTCCCCGAGCCTGCTCCCACAGCTCGTTCTTGGATCCCATGAAACTCGTATCCTTAACATAATGTCCCTCTTGACTTGAGCTGATTCTGAATAAGCTTTTGATCCTTGCACCTAAATTTGTCCCAAAGTGGAAACAGCAGGGATTGGCTTCTCCGATGGCTGAGTCACTTGCCTTCTTGTTTGTCAACCTCTTAGTCTGGGGTAAAGGAGAAGCAGGCAGACAGCACTCTCCTGGTGGTGACCAGCATTCCACAGTGAAATGAAGTGTGATGGGAGCTGGCCGAGCAGAGCCAGCTTGGGGCTGTGGACCCTATCCCACCTCTACCCCAGAACCAGGGAGCCAGCCGCCTACCCTGGAGCCAAGCACAATCAGCTGAGCAAAGCAGGCCTGACCGGGACCTGTGGGGGCCAGGGGTGCTTCAGTCAAGAACATCTGTCCTCTAGAGGCAAAAAGAGGGAGGAGCTAGGTTCACCCCAGACTGAAGCGGTTCCCCGGATGCTGGACTTCCAATCTCAAAACCCAGAAAGTCCTGAGCAAAGTGGGACAAGTTGGTCACCCTAGAGGGAGCTTAGGTGTGAGGAAAAGAATAATCTGGGACTCTCTAGAAACTTTGACTCCAGCCTAATTTAAGCCTAGACTGACTGAGCACAGACTAGACTCGTCCCTTTGGTAAAATAAAAATAATGTCAGTCTTGAAGGGATAGCATGAGGCTTAAATGAGAACACATGGAAGATGGTGGGCATTTGCCCTATTGGAAGACTCTCTAACTAGTCCCCAACCTTACTCTCACTAGGTTGCCTTCCTTTGTACCTCTGGTTTCATGTGAATTTACTGTTTTCCTTCCCATACTCTCAAGTCAAATTATAACCAGCTTTTAAGTGGGTGGAAACACCGTATATGCCCCCTTCCCCTCTCTTCTCCCAAGTTCTTTATACCAGCTCCCTTTCCTGAAGCTCTCAACTAGGGCCCCACAACTTACCTGTGCCTTGGGGTGTCCTCTCTCCCTCAGGGCTTGGCCTGGGGGCTCCCGTTCTGGAGGATGGTCCTGGGCAAAGAATTGGATCTTAAAGCAGGTAGAGGTTTGGTGTCAGGATTAACGGGAATAAGTATAAACGGAGGCACTTCACTAACTGGAAATCACTGTTACTCTTCAGCCGAGAGTTCAGAAGGGCTGATCCAGTCATAGTTCTGTTGTTAACCAACTGCATAACCTTTAGACCAGAACCTTCTCCAGTCTGTCTACAAGTAAGGAGTATGGAGTGGGAGTGTTGAGGGAGGTGAACAGGCAGAGCACAGATTTTTTAGGGCAGTGAAAATACTCTGTATGATGTTAGAACAATGGATATACAGGCAGTCCTCAACTTGCAATGGTTTGACTTACAATTTTTCAATTTTCTGATGGTGCAAAAGCGATACACCTTCAGTAGAAACCATACTTCGACTTTTGAATTTTGATCTTTTCCCAGCCTAGCAATATGAGATATGATCCTCTCTCGGGATGCTGGGCAGTGGCGGCAGCCGCAGCTCCCAGTCAACCACAGCATCACAAGGGTAAACAACCGACACACTTACCACCGTTCTGTACAGATCCAACCATTCTGTTGTTCACTTTCAGTACAGTATTCAATACGTTACACAAGACAGTCAACACTTTATTATAAAATAGGCTTTGTGTTAGATGATTTTGCCCAACTGTATGCTTATCTAAGTGTTCTGAGCATGTTTAAGGTAGGCTGGGCTAAGCTATGATGTCCAGCAGGTTAGGTGTATCGAATGCATTTTTGACTTATGATATTTTCAACTTACGATGGGTTCATTGGGACAGAACCCCACCATAAGTCAAGGAAGATCTGTATGTCATCATACATTTGTCCAAACCCATAGAATGTACACTATGAAGAGTGAACCCTAAGATAAACTATGGACTTTGGGTGATTATGATGTGTCAACATAGGTTCATCTTTGGTAAAAATGTCCCATTCTGGTGAGTGATAGTGATCATGGGGGAGGTTATACATGTGTAGAGGTAGAAAGTAAATGGGAAATCTCTGTACCTTCCTCTCAATTTTGCTGTAAACCTAAAACTTGTCTAAAAAATAGTCTTTTAAATAAATAAAATGAAATAAAAATAAAGAAGTAGATGATTTCTCAAGTTCCTTCCAGCTCAAGTGTCATATGACTCTGATTAAAATTATATGCCCATTAAGCAATTCAAAAGGAATTATGTCTAGAAATTTGAAAGCTAGCAGCCAGCCCAAGGAGGAAGAGCACTTGAGGCGGGGACATTCTGCTCCCCAGCCAGGGGCTGCTGGCTGGGGTGGTGATTGATGATGATGGAACACAGCAGTGTTTTATGAGAGTCCATGGGTAGGAAGCCTGAGGAGGCTATACATTAGTCATGTCTGAAAACCCTTCTCGCTGATATTGTAAGCCAGAAGAGCTAGCCACCACCACTTGCCCAGATGACGGACTTATTGATTCAGAAAAAGGAACAGTTAGCCAGCATTGCTTTATTTACTCAATAGCAATGATATTTTCCAGGGAGGAAAACCCACATAAAACTATTGGAAGCAAAATTCTGAATCAAGTCGACCCCCGACGTGATAACTCGATATTACCCATTGTGCAAAATTACATGGTACCAATTTGGTCTCCAATTTGAGAAAGGAAACATAACACCCCTCATAAAAACCTCAAACCCTTGAGAGACTCAGGAAAACAAAGGGAAGTCTCCCTGCATCTCTCTTTCCTCCTCTCCCCTTCTCCTGGGCCCCCACACTCTTGAGTAGAACCGATGGGGGAGGAGACACTGATCAGTTACCCTTGACATCAATCACTGTATGCTTAGACCTGGGCTAAGCGCCAGGGAGACAGACAAAAACATGGCTCCTGTCCTTAGGGTCCCCAGCTTGAAGGGGAGACACACACAGGAAATGAAACAGCATAATTAGATGCTGGGCTGAATGATATGGACAAGTTGTTCTCAAACTTCAGTGTATATCAGTCTCCTGGAGGGCTCCTTAGACACAGAAGACTGGGCCCTCCTCCAGGGCGTCAGGGTCAGTGGGTCTGGGGTGGGGCCCAAATGTTGCATTCCGACAAGTTCCGGGTGATGCTGGTGCTGCTGGTTCAGAGACCACACTCTGAGCACCAGCGACACAGACCAGTGCTGCCCACACCTGAGGGTGCAGATGAACCGCAAGGGGAGCTCATGAAAATGTAACTTCTGATTCAGCAGGTCTAGTGTAGGGCCGACAGTCTGCATTTCTGACAAACTTCCAGGTGATGCCAGTGCTGCTGAGCTGTGGACCACATTCAGTAGCAAAGGTGCTCCATCTAGACCATAATGGAAAATTGGGGAATAAGGAGATGAGTTTGGCCTGATATTGGCAGGGCAGGGTTAACGGTAATTGTTGGAAGTTGAAGATTGGGCAGGACTTAAATAAATGAGGGAAAGAGGGTATTCTGGGAGAGAACACCGTGAGCAGCAGCAGGGAGGTGGGAGTGAGAATAACAAGGGTAGAGAGGCAGACACTGGCCATTGTCACGTGCTGGCGTCAGTGACAGATTGAGGCTTGGGGCTCCACGTGCAGGTACCCCACTCCATTCGCCCTCCACTCCACCCTCCCCATTCAAGAAGCTGTTCCAATTCCAATAAGTCTACTGGCACTGGTCTTCATGATGGAAATGATTATTGTTCTGCGAGCCCCACTGACAGCTCCCAATCCTGCCGGCTCAGCCAACTTGGATGGCGTCTCACCTGGCTTGTAATGGCTTGTCGTTTGGCAGTCTGCAGGGACTCCCACTTTTCTTTTCCAGTCTCAAGCCAGAGGAGCCTCGGTCCTCCAAGAATTGAGTGTCTTGAAGGCACACGGGGTGGTTATGAGCTTCTCAACAGGCAGTCAGGGCAAACCAGCGTGTTTTGTAGAGTGCACAGTCATGGGGCCCTCTCTTGATGGAGTCAGGGTCATGACTAAGCAGGGAAATAACAGCTCTCCCACCCCTCTCCCTTGGACATCTTTAGTTGATAGGCTTGTTCTAACAAAATGTTCACCCCTTTTTCCACAGAGCGGCCTTTGTGGGTGCAAGAACAGGAAGTCATATGTGCAAAGGCCTGTCATTTGGAAACTGAGCTAATATTTATTGGGTACTGTCTTAGTTTCCCAAGGCTGTCATAACAAAGTACACAACCTGGGTGGCTTATAAGAACAGAAATTTATTGTCTCACAATTCTAGAAACTAGAAGTCTGAAATCAAGGTGTCAGCAGGGACACCTTCCCTCTGAAGACTCTAGGGGAGGATCCTTCCTGGCCTCTACCAGCTTCTGGTGGCCCCAGGCATCCCTTGGCTTGTGGTGGCATCACTCCAATCTCTGCCTCCATCTTCACATGGCTTCTCCCCTGTATCTGTGTGCATCCAAATTTCCTTCTTATAAGGACAGCAGCCATATTGGATTAAGGGCCCGCTCCATTCCAGTATGACCTCCTCTTAACTAATTACATCTGCAACAACCCCATTCCCTAATAGGGCCACATTCTGAGGTCGTGGTGGTTAAGACTTCAACATATCTTTTTGGGGGACACCATTCAACCCATAAAAGGTATCTGTTATGAAACCATAATAAAACATAAAGTCCTGCTGAATCTGACCTTGCCTTTTAGAGGGCTTTCTTCCTCTCAATTAAACTAGAACGGTGAGCTATTTTAAATAAAACAAAAACAACTATAAATAGGGGCCCTTTCTCCAGATCAGCTGAGAATCAAGGGATCAAACACTTGTCCACCCCACGCTAACAGCCAGTGATGACTCTGCAGGATCTAAATAGCAAGTTAATTGGCAGATTATGATAACTAAGTCATTTATCCATGCCATATTTGACTCCCTTCTACATGCCAGGCACTGTTCTGGGTACCCATGATCCAGCAGTGAACAAAACAGACCAAAATCCCTGCCCTGCAGATACTTGGTGAGGGGGGAGTGGGGAGGGGTGTGGTGGGGGAGCCAGGCAGGCAAAAGGAATAAGCACAAGGTGTGGGCTCATAGAGGAAAAGTGAGATGAGGAGTATGACTGGGATTTGCATTTAAATGGGGTGGTCAGAGGATGGCCATCATAAGGTGACAGACAAGCAAAGGCCTGAAGGAGGGGTTCAGGTCATGGGGTGAGGGGTGCAGGGAGGGAGCAGCAAGTGCCAAGTCCTCGGCCATCATGAGAACTCTGCTTCCACTCAGCCATGAGAGCAGCCATCGCACGCTTTCAAACCCTCACTCCATGGCTGGGCTGAAGCTGACTTTGGGGGTGAGGGCCAACGTGGGAGACTAGTCGAGAGAGCTGCAAAACAGAGGGGGCGCCATCCTGGCCTGCGGTGTCGCAGAGGAGAAGGACGTGGACATTGCTGGACTCTGGGTCTGTGCGGAGGTTAGAACCCCGCTGTCGGCGGCCAGGGGCCCTGGGATGCAAGGAGTCTGGCAGACACCACAGCCGCGTGGGGGACACAGGCTCAGTTGGGACGTGTTAAGTGTGCGCTCTTGCAACTCCTTAAACTTAAAAAGAGCGCTCTAACGAAGTGGAAATAGATTCAAACAAATGTGGTGCCAAAAGGATATGGTGGGAAGTATTCTCACTACAAACCAGTCAAAACTGCAAAGGCATAAAGCCACAAAGGTGGTGGAAAGAACTAAAACAATTTTTACACATGAGACTGCGGGGTATAGGAAAAGTGAGGCCCTTTGTTTCTAGTTGTTCTGGTTAAAAGTGGTTGCCTCTGGAGGGGAATGTGGAGGAGAAAGGGATCTTACTCTTTATGTATACCTCCTGCACGGTTTTAATTTTTATTACCATATGTATGTATTAATTTTATAACAAAAAATTGGCAAGCATTTTTAATGTGGTTTTTAAAATCATGGGTCTAAGCAGAATGAGGTCGATTCTATGTTCTCACAAGAGTGTTCAAGATAATAAATGACTTGTTACTGAATAATGACAGGTATACTGTAATTCTATGCATATACTGTCGTCCCTGGGTATCTGTGGGGGATTGGTTCCAGGAGCCCCACATATACCAAAGTTCACACATACTCAAGTCCTTTATATAAAATGCATATAACCTACACACATCTTTCTGTATACTTTAAATCATCTCTAGATAACTTACAACGCCTAATGCTATGTAAACAGTTGTTAGGCTGTATTGCGTAGGGAATAAAGACGTGGAAAAAAGTCCGTACATATTCATTACAGATGCAACCATCATGGGCCTTTCCATTGGTTGGTTGAATCAGCAGATGTGGAACTGGGGATACCAAGAGCCGACTGGACATACATGTGTCTATGTATTTGTACATAGAAAAAAATCTGCAAGGATGGATATAAAGTTAACAGTGGCTACCCATGCAGAGTGAGAATGGAGAAGGTCCTTAACCAGGGAACTCTCACTTTTTACAATATTCTCTTCTGCAGTTGGTGTCTACTTTTAAAAGGAGTACTTAGATGTGTTTGAATTCAAGGTGAAGGTCTTCCCTATACTTTGTTTCACTCAATTAAACCTCCACATCATCTGAAGAAGAATTATTGAATATTTTAAATAAACAGGCCATAGGAAATTTTCAGTCTCCCTTCTCTCTTACTCCTACAAGAAATAAGTGACTATAAAATGATAAACTCTATTCAAGTTGTTTTTGTTTTTTCAATAAATAGAAGTGTCACAATATCAATTTTTAAAAGTTAAGCTTGACTCATAAAATACAGAGTGAACACATGGCAAGTGTTTATCTAACTCATCAATGAGAGAACAACCAGGACGGTAAAACAGCAGGGGACGAACTGAGCATTTATGGTCAATGAGGAAGGAATTTGGGGATAAAGTTACTAGTTTAGAATCAAAACCAGTTGATATCCTCCAGGGCAATCAAACCATAAACTTTGGGATTATCATTTCTACCAGACAGAAATCATTTGCCTCTTCTCTGGACAGAAATCTGCAGGTTACATGTAATCTCACAGAGTCTGGGCCCTAAGCGAGAGCGAAGAGAAAACCAAAAGAAGATGCAGCCCCTAGAGAATGAAACGGTCCCTGGGCGGATCTGCCGGGCTGTGCTCAGCACGATGTTGAAAGGACATGCAATCCTCCTTTTGTCTTATTTATAAATGTTGGATGCGTTTTCTTAACATAAGATACGAATTTACATATTGGCAGCTGCAGCTTTCAATTTTCCAAATGGAGTTTGCTCTTAACATTAATCTACTTTTCACCATCTTTTGTGTCTGTTTTCAATCAGGCAGGAAAATTACCAACAAGCAATTCTAGAATTGCAATAATGTTCCGTTATAACAACTAAATATATTTTTATATTGTTTTGGTACTCTCCCTTGATGGGTACTAAAAATTTTATGAGAAATTTAAACTTTGTATCCAGACAAAAAAAAAAAAATTCACATATCTGCTTTGCATTGATTCAGCAACAAAAAATCAATTGATACTAACTGCCGTTTCGAATGTTTATATGAATTTTAGAGATAACTTTGGGCAAGTTACTGAATTTCTTAGCCTCAGCTTCCTCCTCTGTGAAAAAATAAGACTTTCTTCACTGTACTGTTGTATGCATAATTGCATGCTGACAGATAGAAACTGGGCTTATACTGCTGTGCTCTTCTTCAGTGTTATATACACATTCACAGGTCAATTTCTGCTTGTTGGGCTTCCTTGTAGGTTTGGGGTTTCTCACCATTTGCCTTTTGCTACATGGATGTGTCCTTTTATCTTCTTGTGATTTTTAAAAGTGTAAACTATGTTTTTTAATGCTATCAATTGCTTCGTTTTTCAAAAAAAAATTAAATTGTATTTCTCATCCATCTTTCTTTTTTGTAAAGAACGAAAGGGTGTTTTTTGAAGTCTCCTAACATTAGATGTGAAATTTAACAAATCTCTCTCTCTTTCTGACCAAATGCCATTTTAAATTGGAATCCCTCTCCTATAATTTATTGTCACATTTTTGAGAAATACAGAAAACACCACGTGAATTTATCTAGCAGCCGTGAAAATTGCACACTGAGCTCATGTAGCAGCTGCTCAGTTAGCTCCTCACTAGGCTCTTGAAAAGTTATGGCATGTTTGTCAACAATTCGTTTTTTTAAATAACAACCTGTTCACTCAAACGCATCCAGTAAATACGCTGTAAGAAGTCAAATTTCAACGTCAGCCTCAGGCAGAGCCGGACTCTCCCCCTTACTCGACACGAGTCTACAGCCGGAGACCAGCACGTGAACCGAACTAGACCCGTGCGCTCGCCGGGACGGGACGGGAGGCGGCAGCGTCTCAGGACCGTCCAGCGGCTATGCGTGTGCGGCGGTGTTCTGGAGCATTCTCATGCGTACTATGCCCAAAAGTGTTTTTCTGTGTTATAACTTCATTCAGTGTAGTTTGCATGCAAGAGGACCATGAGACCCAAAAAGTTTCAAAAATTGGTTTTAAAAATGGTACAGAAATTGAAAATACTTAAAAACAATTGCATTGTACACTTTAAATGATTAAATTGTATGATACGTGAATTGTATCTCAATAAAGCTGGGGTTTTTTTAGTGGTGCAGAAAGAAGAAAAACATTACTATGTATGGTAAGCGTTCATGCCATTCCAATTTATGTAATTGTTGTATATGTAATTACGTAATTTCAAATTATTACATAAATTTGTTTTCATTGCTCAATTGATATATTTTTCTGTCTGTGAAAAGTATTTGGGCAGCTTAGGCTAAAATGCAATTCATAATTTTTCCGATCAAAATTAATGTAAATTTTTTTCACTTAATGGCTTTTCACGTCTCAGAAGCATTTTAAGGGACAAATTAAAGCTGTTAAGCAAGATATAGGTTTAATTATTTGAAACTTAGAGTTAAATTTCTAAGGAGATTATAGACTTGGCAGAGATGGCGATGCTGAGAGGAGGATCAGAGTAAATGCTGAAATGATTTGCCCTGAGCGGCAGGGTTGAAATATATCACGCCCACTGAGAAAGACTTCAGACCCGCAAAACGGCAGGGGGCCAAACTATGCAGAGCGTTGGGAGGGTAGAGAGCCAGTGAAAGGCAGAAAAACCAGGAAAAATCTAGAAAAGGGCAAACAGATGATTAAAAGCTGACTTGGAAATTTAGTTTGCTAATCTACCAGCTGGACTGTAGTTTGCTATCATAAAGTCAATCCATAGGCTTCATTCAGTCACAGATTTCAGAAAAAAAAAAAAGAGCTCCATGCTTGAGTAATTTTCTAAGCTCAAAAATAACTTAAATCCATTTATCTCTTACCTTACTTTGTGGAGGACAAACCTTGTAACAAACCACAATTTTCTGCCTTGTTTTTGCAGAGAGAAAAACTGGAAAACAGTATCATTTGGGAAAAAGGAGAGAGCTCAACAAATACTGAAATGTGGGAAATGTGAACGACAGCAAACACAAAATACTCTCTCTAAGGCACACAGCAAAGGAACTATTTAGTCAACCAGAAATTTAGAATCTGAATGTGTAATGTCTAAGTTTTGAAGAAGATAAATGAGGAAAATATATTATTCTTTAGTTATTTCCAGTAACTTGAGAAAAACACGTGCCTGGTTCCAAATCAGCAAGTGCCGATTCTGAACTTCAGCGACTTTTTTTTTCTGACAAAGGAAGAAAAAACGTTGAATGAAACCCAACCAACCAAATGAAATTTTTTGACTTTTTTTTTCACATTACACCTGATCCCAGTCAAGAATAAAGAGAAAAGAATATGAGCTAAAAGAAAGTAAAGTTATTGAAGCATTTTTTAAGTATTTCGTTTTCTGGGTAGAACGGCTTTAAGCTTTCCCAAGGTCTAGGGACCCTGCTTTTCTAAAAAAAAAAAAAAAAAACAGTTTTCTTAAGAGGGATTTTTCTACATTTTAATGCAGTTTTATAAATTCTTTTAAAGACATGTCCAACAAATGGAAAGATAAGTCATACAGGAAAATGTGAATAATCCCAGAAATATAGACTTTCAGTTTCCTTCCAGACTTCATTTCCTTTTAATATTAATTCACCTGCAGCCCAAATTCTCCATGTGTTCTGCCAGATACTATTTATGAACTACACACACGGCAATTACTTCTTCGAATTCATGACATCACTTAAAAAAACCCATCAGGCTGATGATGGTGACGGCATCTGAGGCCATAGAAGTCACTCTGCGCCTACCTCTGGAGACTCTGGGCAAACTCACTCTCCTTTCTCCCGATTAGGGTAACTTCCACCCCAGAACAGTTTTTCCACAGCAATAACAAACTAGTTGGACAGATCCTGAGATGCAGGATCTGTATCTTTGAAGGCCAAACCTCAACAATAAAAACAAAAAACTGTAGATGAGACATGGCTGGCTTGGGCTTGTCTTCCCTTCAAATTCTTCCCCAGTTCTTGATCGCTTCATCATAGCCTAACTCATTTGTTGGCAGCACCAAAATAAAACAGATTTTTTAACACCTTTAAATAAAATAGATTTCTTAAAACCTTTATATTTACTAAGCACTTTCCTTCAGTGCCTCACCTCTCTATCCACCCCATCCCATTCCCAACTTATTAAAGATTAGCAGTGCCTGGCTTATAGTAAATTGTCAGCAAATGTTGATGATGACAATAATTATTGTCATTATCCAGAGGTAGAAGACTATGTTCAGTATTTAAATCTTAATCTATCTTATCGAGGATTACTAGAGAAAATCAAATGTAAGCTGAATTCTTTCAAATTGCTCTCCTGTGGGACACGTGTTCCTTTTTAAGCCCCCATGTTATGTCTCTCTAGCCTAGCTATAGAAAATAACTTTGCTCTCAAAGCGAATGCCATGGGGAGAAAATGGGCAAGGGACTATTCTAGATTAAAAGAATGCAAAGAGACATAACAACAAAATGCAATGTAACTTGATTGCCTCCAGAACCAGAAATAAAAATCTACACAAGACATTTTGGAAACAGTTGGGGAAATTTGAATATGGGCTGAATGTGGATGATATTATAGAATTACATGTTTTATTAGTTATTATAATGGTATTGTGGTTATAAAGGAGGATGTCTCTGTTCTTAGAAGATGTAGGCTGAAATATTTAGGGATGAAATATTGTGGTATCTGCAACTTATTTTCAAGTGGTTCAGGAAAAAAGTTATATTTAAATATAAAGAAAAAGCAAATGTGGTACAATATTAACAACTGGTGACTCTAAGTGAAAAGTTTATGTGTTTATTATATTATACTTCAATTCTTCTGTGGATGTAAAATATTTAAATAAAAAGTTGGGAATAAAAAAATAGCAAAAGAATAGTTTTACTGAAGAAAATGCCACACATTTCTTTAAATATTTTACTGTAATAATACACAATTATACATTGCTATTACTTATTTACAGTTTATAAAAGCACACCTATACAACATAGTTTCTCAATCTGAAATTCGCTTCCTATATACATTATTTAACTTTCAGTGTTAATGCATGAATCTCTTTTTCATAAATATAAATCAAAACAGCTCAACACCTAAATTAGAGACAATTAAATACCAGGTGTAAAGATCTTGAGTTAATATTTCAATTAAGTTAAAATTTTCAATAATTTTTTTTTTTTAGTAATTTCTTCTTTGTTTTTCTTCTTTGTCCAAAAGAGTCTGTTTTAAGCTCAAAGTAGCATCTTGAAATCCAGGATTTAAGCCTAATACCTTCTTGAAATCTTCCAAAGCATCATCAAAGTATCCTGTACCAGAACCCAAAAAATGGAAAAGAGGAAAAAAGCTGAATATTTCTATATGTTATTCATAGCAAAGTTTGGATCTATACTTCTGCTTCTATATTTACAAGCTTTCAATCACTCCTAGTAAAGGAATTTTTTTTCTCTTTATAATGATACAGAGATGTGTATATCAAAGTAATTTCGTGTACCTTTACAGAATAATACATAAAATTAGCTACGAGTTTATCTATTGAGATTTAAAAGGTAAATAGCATAGAAACAGAAAATACCAACAAAATGATATCATCTGTTTTACATAATTACAGTAAAAGTAAGAAACAGGAAATTCATTTTCTTTTTAACACTTTAAATGTGAAACAGTATCTACAGCCTCTTTAATCAAAGGATCTCAAGCCTCTTCACTTTGTATTGTCTTGTGACCCTTCAAAGATTTTAACTCAGAAAAGTTCCACAGGTGAGCACCAGCATGAGCCTCATTTTGAAGCTGGGAATGCACGGGCTCAAAGTAACGGGGTCACCCTCATGGGGTGGGTGCAATGCCCACCCGTGCTCCGTTGTGGTCTGTAATGCCTGTCGAAAGCCTAAAATAAACACAGGGACACTTCCTTTGTCCCAGGCTCTAAACCTAAATTTCACATAACTTTACGACTTGATGATGGCTACATTAGTTTTACAACATTTGAGAGCTCTGAATTAACAGAACATCGTCAAGGACAAAAGAAAAAAAAAATCTTACCTAGCCTATACAATATCAACCCTCTGTTGTAATATGGAACCTCAAAATCGGGTTGGACTTCTATGGCAGATGTGTAGTCATCCATGGCTTCATCAAAATCAACCCTGAAGTATTTGATTTGCCCCCTGTTGTTATATGCAGTAGCCAAATCCTCAGGGCTGCATTTACTGTAAACAAAAAGTTCACATTAAAAAACACCCTGTTACCAAATTCTCATTTCCACTTTCATTCTCTTTTGGGTGTTGTCAAACTTCACAGCCGATAACATGCAGTATTGACACTGAAAAATCAAGTGGAAGAAACAAAATGCAGAGAAACAAAGCTGTGGAATCAATTTTTGTTTAATCCCATTACGTACTTTTGTAGGATTCTGTAGCCCTACAGCGTCAACCCGGAAAGCACATTCATTTTACAGCTTGTTCAAAGCCCAAGTTCACTGCCAACTTGTTAGCTCAATATAATATTAAAATGATCGTTCATTTTCTAAGCACATGCCAGGAGGGCAAAGAAGACAGATCAGATCCATATCGACCAAGGAGAGAAAGCCAGCCCAAAGTCCAAGTTCTCTACGGACAGGTCACAAAGTGAGTCATCAAGTTTATTCTTACATTTGTTAAGTGAGCTCAGAACAATGAGATCTGAAATCATTTTCCAACAATAAAGAAACACAAGTTAACCCTAAGTGAAAATTCAACAGGCTGATCCCCAGCGAGTGCTCTCTGGAGACAGATGCCCTCCCTCCAGCCGTGGCTGGGATGCTCCCCAAGGCCAGACTGACTGCCTGCTCGAGGCCGTCAAGGCTCCGGTCCACTCTGGTGGTCCTGTGTGCAGAATCGGCCCCGCACCTGAGGGCTCCAGAGGCTGCCCCAGGAGCTTTAAGGGAGTGGACTTTCCTGTGCCGGGTTGGACTCCCAGGCAGCTCCGACGGGCCATGAGCTCAACAGGTCAAGCCCTCTCCCCAGCCCCTGCTTGGGGAATCATTTGCACAGAGAACTTTAATGGGCTCTGCTCTTGTCAGAGATGATTCTGTTTTCTTTTCTTTTTTTCTAAAGGGACTCTCAAATTGGAGCCAAACAGGGAAGATGCACGTTAAACTCATCTGTCATTTCTTTGTTATACCCCATAGTGCAAAGTATAGTGTGACTGCCGTGAGTGTGACTAAAATTACTTCTCTTAACATCTTGATCCTTGAGATCTCCAACAGTGACTGTAACTACTGCTGCCATAGGAGCTACTCAGAGCCTAGAGGTCTCCTTGAAGTCTAAGTTTGCTTACAATGGAGAGAAGCCACTGCAGCTTTAGAAAATTCTGTTTCTGCGAGCTACGACTGAGAGAGACTGGGTACAGGACGCTTCTGAATGCCACTGGCACCAGTGTCAGAACCTACAGAACAGGAGGGCACGCTCCATTCATCTCTCTCTGTTATGACAGTAGGTGAACCACTCCCAGCAAGGAGTTTTAAGAAAAATGCAGCCTCAGGACTCCAGTAAGGTTTTAGTCATTAAGTTTCTAAACTTCTTAGAAATTTCTTATATTCAGAGGATCGTAGAATGTTTGATTTAGATCTCATTACAACAAATTCTGAAAGCCTATTTTTCATGTGGAAATTGTTTCCTATTTTAAAGGCATGGGCTAAAAGTTGAAGCCAAAATTATTTTTTTGTAATAGTGAGATTTTGTAATGATAGTATTTATCATAATGGAATTTAACCTAATCCAAATGTGTATTTTTAGCATTTTCAAACTTTAGCAAAAAAAAATTTGGAAATTAGGTTTATGGCTAGGCTGTACTTTTGGATATTAAAAGAAAATGTTATAAACCATTCAGAGTGGCAGGCATTCAAAGATTGCAAATACTGTTTCAAAATGATTCAGTGACCCAATATTTCAAAAGTTAAATTTAAACTCCAAAAGATACATTTAAGGAAAAAGTTTGAAATGACAGAATTCGGTTTCAATCCATGAGTTCCTAGAAGAATTTCAGAACTGTAAGGGAATAAAAAGGTCCATTCGGGCATACAGAGCTCCCTTCTACGAAATCATCGAGATCTCTTCTGTGCTGCTAAGGGGGAGAAACTACATTTGCTACAGACACACATTTGTGCTGGGACACCGAGATGCACAAAGGAGGAGTAACAAAACTAGATGGCATCAATACACCTGTTGCCAATGAATACTTTTTGAAATCTACTAGATAAGACTATTCTTCGAGCTTGAAACAAGGATGGAAAACTACACATTCTATACTGACTACTTTTTTTGGCCAGGGGGTGGCGGCGGGGGGGGGGGGGGGGCATCTTATTGCCTGTTCAGAAATTTCAATTAACTATTATTCTGGTGTATTATTGAAATGAGAAAACAATTTTATTTTCCTAGTTTAATTCCACATGAGTTTAACAAACAGGATAGGAATCTTAAGCCTCATACAAAAGACAAGCTGGCATCCTGTCAAAGAAACCAAATCTTTGAGGGGAGAGGGTGATGGTGCAGACAACTCGAAACTGTCAGAAAAGCTGTTCATTTAACCCTGGTCTGTTCTTTCGTGTCTCATCCTGGTCCAGTCCACACCATCAACAAGAACAACGAAGGCAAAACTTGGAGTAACAACAAATGCTACACATCCAGGCATAAACTCAAGATAGTTTGGACGAGCAGGTCCTAGAGGTGAGGATGCTAACAACACAAAAAGACATCACATGCCTCCTGGTGGAAGTACACACCACCACACATGAAGTATTCTTGCCATAACACTGGATCTGACTTGGAGCAAACCTCAAGATTTAACTACCAACTCACAAGCAATGTAGGGCACAGGGGACCATATTAAATGACGTCAGGGAGATGAATTCAGCAAATCCAAATATGGGGAGTTCTCAGGACACACCACTCGGTTTCCTCAACAAAGAAACTGCAAGGGAAAAAAAAACAAGGGGAGTCTGATAGATTGAGACCTGCTGTGCATTCTGCCTTGAACCAACTGCTAAAAACCAACCAACCAAACAAAATAAACTTTATTGATTAATCAGGAAAGTTCCAACACTGACTAGGTATTTGATATGAAGAAATTATATGATAATAATGGTTATGTCTTTTTAAGACTCCTTACTATTTAGCAATGCTCTCTGAGACTTCCATGGATGAGTAATAGTCTGGAGGAGATAATACTCAGGGCGCGTGACGGTTACCCGGGGGTTCATTACACTATTTTCCATATATTTACTTTTTTTTTCATAAGTGAAAAACAAACCAAAACACCGTTGCGATGCTGTGGCTGGAATCGCGGCACCGCGTGCCCGCGTGGCACCACTCGCGTCCCCTCGCCTCACCGGGTCCCCAGATCCCACATGCAAAAAGCACAGGTGGAGAAGCCCTATCCGCTCTAAGTCTCAGGATCCGAGAGGGAGTAACAGAGGAGGAGGACACCGGGGTGGGGCCAGCCGGCGTCCCGGAGGGAGGCGCCCGTCACCGCCTTCCTGGGAAGACACCTGCCCGCTCCGTCCTCGGCGCCCGTGAACTCCCAGCGGCGAGCAGAGAGGCTGGAGGACCCCCGCCTCCCCCCTTGGGGAGACGCCGCCGCCCCTATTTCTCGCGATACTTACTTCCCGGGCGCCGCTCCTACCGAACCCGCAGAGAGGCACCGGCGAATGTAAGCGGAGTACAGCGCCTCGGCTTCCGCATACTCGCCCTTCTCGAAATGAGCCTGGGCGAGTGCTAGGGTTGCGTGGCTCTGTTGTCCTTGCTGCCCTTCCATAGCAGCCGGAGGCCTACCCTGACATGTAGAAAGAGGATTGACTTCTGATAGATTAGAGGCGGCACAACAGACCCACTTCCGCACCCCGGAATTTAACTTGACAGAGAAACCTCGGCGCTAGTGCAGGGAGAAGTTTGTGCCTTCGGAGGACCCGTCGTCTCGCGAGATCAATACTACGCTGCCGGCGAAGATATCCTGCGGTCCTGGAAAGCTTGGACACGCTCTTAGGAAGCGCAGTTTTGTTACTACGGCTGGTCCCGCCTGCTCCGTTCCCCAAGAAAGCAGTAGATCGATGGTCGTAAAGTGGTTTCCAGGTCCGTGGTCTCATGTTACGAGGAGCTTGTCCTTTGTTACAGATACGGGAGGCGGGGAGCGGCTGGCTGTGCCGGAAGCGGAAGAAGCCTTGGTTTGTTTACGAATGGCCGCTTAGCCTGGGGACTCACTGCAGTTCTAGTGTCCGCCCTCAGCAAAATACCCAGCAGAGGATGTTTTGTGTAGGCTGTGGTTACTCTGAGACAGTTTGTGTTGAAATCCCATGAGCTTACTTGTCCCACGGTCCTGAGTCGGAATTCAAACCCTACTATTTATTTACTCCAAAACCCCTAGATTGCCAACTTCTCATTTTGGAACGTCTGAAATAATGTACGGGTTAATTAAACCGGATTTTAATTGTTGGCAATCTGTGATCTATGATGTTAGTTTACATTCTTTGGCTGTTTATGCCAAAAAAAAATCCAGATAGAAATTTATTAACTACAATATGTTTAATTCAACAAAAAATTATGTAAAATGAACAATCCAGAGAGGAGATTAGGAAAACAATTCTATTTACAAGAGCATCAAAAAGAATAAAATACTTAGGAATTAACCAAGGAGGTGAAAGACTTGTACAATGAAAACTACAAAACATTGCTGAAATTAGACATAAAAAAAAGCGTCCTTTGTTCATGCCAACGCAATCTACACATTCAGTAGAATCCCTATCAAAATCCCAATGATGTTTTTACAGAAATAAAAAAATCCATCTTAAAATTCGTATGGAATTTCAGGGAATCCCAAATAGCCAAAACAATCTTGAAAAAGGACAACGTTGGAGGACTCACACTTCCTGCTTTCAAAACTTACTACAAAGCTACAGTAATCAAAACAGTGTGGTATCAACATAAAGACAGTCTTTTCAATAAACAGTGCTAGGAAAACAGGATATCCACATGTAAAAGAATGAAGTTAGACCTAAATATATAAAAACATTAACTCAAAATGGATTAAAGACCTAAGCATACGAGCTAAAAATGTAAAATTCTTCAAAGAGAAACTTAAGACAAAAGCTTCATGACATTGGATTTGGCAGTTTCTGGGATATGACACCAAAGGCACAGAAAACTAAATAAACTGGACTTCATGAAAATTAAAAACTTTTGTGCATCAAAAGAGTATCAACAGAGTAAAAGGACAGCCCAGAGAATGGGAGAAAATGCCTGCAAATCACGTATCTGATAAGGGCGGGCAATGCAGAGATGGAACTTCTGTGAGGCAGGCTGGCCTAGCGTGTCCACCTACTCAGAGAACACACAGGGGATTCTGACATGGTGTCTCCATCTCTTGAGAAGCTCTGGTCTGTAGGACACTGGAGGGCCCTGCCCTGAAACTGAGGTGCTGGGGCCAGGCTCAGCTGCTGCCCCTCTCCAACTCTCATGCCATCTTCCATGAACTCCATCTGCACTTGGTGCTCCCCCTGTGGGATGGCATCACCAAGCCTTCCCTCCACCAGCCCACCCAGAAATACAACCGCAACAAGGTGATCTGCTAAAAGTGTTATGCTCAATTGCAACCCCATGCTGTCAACTGCCACACCAACAATCTGCACCCCAAGAAGAAAGTCAAATAAGGTCCCTCCACAGGCTCCTTCTCCCCCAACAGGGCAGCCTCCTGCCTGAGCCCCATGGCCCTGAGGCCTCAGTAAAGCTTCCCTTTTGTTGACTGGAGCAGTTTAAAAAAAATTATATATGTATACACACACACACATTTTTATATAGAGAGAGAATTCCAGAATATAGAGAGAACTTCTAAAACTCAGCTTTTCCAGAGTGGGTGTACTATTTTACAGTCCCACCAGTAATGAATAAGGATTTCAGTTGCTCCATATCCTCACCAATACTTGTCAGGTTTGTTTGTTTTGGTGAGGAAGATGGGCCACGAGCTAACATCAATTGCCACTCTTCCTCTTTTTTTTTCCTCCCCAAAGCCCCAGTACATTGTTGTATATTCTAGTTGTAGGTCATTCTAGCTCTTTTATGTATGATGCTACCAAAGCGTGGCTTGATGAATGGTGTGTAGGTCCATGCCCAGGATCCAAACTGGCAAACCCCAGGCTGCCAGAGCAGAATGCATGAACTTAACCACTCAGCCATGGGGCTGGCCCCTTCACTTGTCAGTTTTAATTTAGCTTTTATAGTGGGTGTGTAGAAGTATCTCATTTTTCTCTAAATTCTGCTAAATTTTTCTAACTAGAAATTTAAACTATGCCAAGGAAGAAATGAATAGTTAAATAAAATAATAACTCCAAGCCTCTTAATGTCCACTTTTTCTTTTTAATTTTAGAGAAATCTCTTAAGAATAGGTCTTGTTATGAAGAACACTTACAGTACTAGAATTTCTTCAGTTTCACCTGTTTTTTCTTCTCCTAAATTCAACTAAAATATAAATTAATGCCTTTTTTTAAAAAAAGGTTATTAAGACTTTTTATTTTCTCATCTGTACATATTTTTTAAATTTTCTACCATGAACATGTTACTTTTATATTCAAAGAACAATAAATTAATTTCTTAAAGAAGAAAAAAATGAAATGAGAAAATAATCATAGGAATAGACAGTAGGGGGCAATATAATATTGCTATTTTCATTTTGGAAACTTAGGAGCAATACCTTAGAGCTATAAAATCATCAAATAAGTACTCTTGATTTTCTCTTAAAAGTGTGGTAACACAGGGGCCGGCCCAGTGGCACAGCGGTTAAGTTCGCACGTTCCACTTCTCGGCGGCCCAGGGTTTACCGGTTTGGATCCCAGGTGCAGGTATGGCACCACTTGGCAAAAGCCATGCTGTGGTAGGCATCCCACATATAAAGTAGAGGACGATGGGCATGGATGTTAGCTCAGGGCCAGTCTTCTTCAGCAAAAAGAGCAAGATTGGCAGTAGTTAGCTCAGGGCCAATCTTCCTCAAAAAAAAAAAAAAAAGACATGGTAACATAATTTTCCCCATTTCTACATGAGAACTCTGTGTGACCTCTAAGGAATAATTCACTGCAACCTCCAGTCATCTGACATTTGCCTAATACCTTTATAAGTAGTTGTTTTTCCTGTTTGGTAGCAAAAATGCTATTGTACATCTCTTGTATCTCCTGTCCCTTTCTCCCCTTATCCACTGTGAAGCCCAACACCCTCCTAACCAACCCCCACCAAAATATTTAAGTCAAAACAAAATACCACGTTATCCATAAGTTGCAGGTAAATGAAACAGGTTAGACACAAGTCATTTTTACTTACAATATTTACATTTTATTTACAATATTTATTATTTTCATATATATATTTTTTTACTTAATGCCGCATAAAACCTATGATCTCAGCTATTGGAATACCAAAAGATAATCTCAATGTGTACTTTAGCAAAAAAAAGAAAATGTATAATGAACTTAGCATTTGTGCATGACAGCAGGTCAGTCATGCTATGTTGCTTGTGAGGCACACTGCTTATCAGGATAGCTTTATCAGCCGGTTCTCTCAACTCAAGACTTTGGCCTACCATGCTCCTTTGAAACATAATTCAGGCCAAGTTTTATGATAAAGAACAACTCAGCATTACCTAAAGGGAGGCAGTTCATGTTTATTACAAGAAGAAAACAACATAACTGTTTCATTATACTGTCTTCAATATACTACCTCATTCTGTCCATCCAACTTCTCTCCAAGTATTTGTTATATATAGACCATTTTGCTTCTCTTTGCCCCTTTCATCAGGGAAGAGTTTGTTGGTGGTGTTATCCTGAAATTCCCTTCATATTAAATAAAACAAATAGGGTAAATTCATACTGTGGATCTTTCTCTAGTACCATTTTCAAGCAAGACCAAGGTCCCCAAGACATTATGGCAGATCACTAAAACTTTCACAGATATAAATCCCAAACAGTCATAAGCTTTTACAATAGTAGAAAAGATATGTCTGTGAATATATATATGTATATACATGTATGTATAATGTATTTGTGTGTGTGCATATATATACATGTGTGTGTATATATACACACACATATACATACATGTATATACACATATACACACACACATATATGTATGTGATAATTAGGTCTACAAGAGATGAGAGGTTGTTTTTAGAGATTTTGGTTTCTGGATTAAACCGAACAAGAAGTAGTGACAGCAATTCAGAATCTATCTGAAATAACTAGTTTATGGAAAAATTCAAGGGCTCAGGCAGCATGGAATCAGTGCCAAATGAGAAAGCTCCACGAGAGTTCACAAAAAATGTTAGGAAAGGCCTGAGGAGTCAACAGCTGATTTTGGAATTGAAGCAAATGGGAGTGTAATCAACAAGTCAGAGTAAGGGCTGGAGGAATGACAATTTAGCTTTATGTTCTCAGCTGATTCCTGAGATGGGAAAGGGAAAGAGAAAGAAGAGATGTTCAGGCATTAGACCAGGGACCAAGAATCACAACTCTGAATATGCAGTCCTGCAGGAACCCTGCACCCTACATCCCTGAAAATTTCTCTTTCCTTAATGAAGCAGAGAACAGTTTCATTCCTGAAAATAGAAAGTCTTATAGAAATTTGTAGTTAAATTCAACAGGAGATATATTCCAGATGTCAGCATCATGGCAGAGTGAGCTCTCCACTTGAACTCCCCCTTCTAAAGTACAACCAAAAAGACATTCATACACCAACAGAGGAGATTCACACAACACAAAAGACATCTGAGAGACCCACGCAGCCATATGTCTGAAGGTGGTTGGGCTGGAGTCTCTGGAGGAAGTGGAATCTGGTAAGGGGGACTCTTCTCTTCCCAATGGCAGCCAGGGACCTCAGGACAGTGCCCAGCTGTGAGAGGAAAGGGGGGAGGGGTGGCCCTCTGCAGGAACACCATTGCTCTCCAAGTTCCCTCACAGCCCAAGAGAAAGCCCTACACATAGAGGAGACTGAGCTCTTGTGGGGGTGTCTCCATCAAACTAGCACTCCAGGAGAGCAGTTGGTGAGGGCACAGGGAGAATGCTGGGATTGCGCAGAAGAAAGAGGGTGCCCCTCCCCCACCCAGCACTCCAGCCCTCTGATCACCCAGAGTGCCGAGCAGAGAGAGAAGTGGCATCTGGGAAAGGCGCACAGGTCTCCATGATCACCCAGAGTGCCAAGGTGGGAGAGAGGTGGCGGCTGGGAAGGGTGCACAGGTGAAAGAAGGTGCCCCTTCCCCCACCCAGCACTCCAGCTCCATGATTGCCCAGAGCGCAGT